CGCGTCCCCTTGAGGCTCCCGACCCCGCGCTCCCGTCTCCTCACCGCCAGCGGGTCGAGTCCACTCCGCAGCACGTCCCGCGTTCTCCTGAGGGACACCCGCCCCGCCCCCGGGGTAACCTGGCTCCGCCCCCGGGGTAACCCGGCCCCGCCCCCGCCGTGACGTCGGCGTCGTCGGGGTTTCCTCCCCACAGGTGCGGGGGTGCGGCCGTGCTGAGCTGAGCCAGGGCACTTGCTAGACACCAAGTTCCTTTGATGCGCTCTCTCTCATAAAGCAAAACAAAACACACACCTGAGACCAGCACTCAAGGAGACCCCATGTTTCCTCCTTCCCAGACCTGAACCTGAAACCAGGAAACCCGTTCTGCCTTCCCAGTCATTCATGTCACCCTCACACACGGACCGATGGCCACCAGAATGAGACTTTCTAGCTCTCCACACACAACCCTTTAATGTTCAGGAAGTCCGTTTCCTTTTTAACACCTGTGTGTGTGCCTTTAAATAAAACAAGAACACAGTTGTCTTCACAAAAGGAGGCGGAGACACAATTTCCTTCAGTGAGGTTTATTAGAATGGAATGGCCTCCAGGCTGTGATCAGGCAAGGGGGTGGGAGGGGAAGGCATTAGGCAGAAAGAATACAATTATGGAGGTCTAAGCAAGAGCGGGCATTAAAGGGAAGGACAGGCTTTCTTTAAAGCCTGGAGAGGCCCTCCACTAAGGGCTGGAAGGAAGGGGGGCAGGGGGCAAGCAAGAGCAGCGGCTCCAAGGCGTCCCTGGGAGAGGGATGGAGAGGTTGGGGACAAGGAATGTCTTCAGGGAGCAGCCTTCAGAGCACCTCCGTGAGCAGATTCCCCCAAACAAATGAGAAATCTGACTCTTTGCAACCCTTTAAGGGTGACAGGAACTTTCACATCACGTGATTCAGTTCAACACAACCAATCACATGGAGGAGCCATGACCATAAATCATGAGTTACTATTAGTCCACAGCAGACATTGTCTTAACTATGCTCAGGTGTGGCTGGTTCTCCTCATGTTATGGGATTGGCCTAAAGGTGCAGGCCTATGTTCTGACATGCGCATGTCTATGTGCATGGGCATGCTGCATACAAGTGCGCATGAGGAGATCGGAGGACAACTTGTGAGAAATGGTTTTCTCCTTCCACCACATGGGTAGTCAAGTCTTGGCCATCTCAGGAGCTCCCAGAGGAGGTCCACTCCTTAAAAAGTTCTGCTGTTTCCAATGGTTTAAAACCACCTGATTTGAGTTTAAAGCCCACGACCCTTGGGGCACACCCCAAGATTTTACTCCAGCCAAAAAAGAACACAGAGACTGCTCTTCCCACTCACAGACCGACCCAGAGCAGACACTCCGAACACCCCCCAATCCAGAGCTCATCAGGTAACACCCTGGGGAAGGACCTCAGCCCTGTGGAGATCTATCCATCTATAATGCCTGAAGAGGAGTGGCTCATCAGACCTGCTAGCTGGTCACTCAGCTCGCCTTTATCCCCATCCTAAGCTTGGCACTGGCACAGCCCCAAGGGGTGCCTGCATGCTCCACTTGGTGAAGGAGGCCTCGGGGAGAGTGGAGGCCCTGAGCACAAGCCTGCAGAAGAAGCAGTTCTAAGAAATACATGCTGACTTATTACAGGGGTAAGACAGTTTTTCTGGGGATAAATATTCGAGAAAGTCTGAACATTTTACTCATTTGTGATGTCTCCTAGTAGGTAGGATGAAAAAAAATCTACCCTAGCATTCCTGGGTGATAGGATGGAATTAAAAAAAAAAATCTGTATTGATTTGTGATTGTTTCTGAATACAGAGGTGTGGGGAAGGGTTTCCACTGGCTTCACGGGGAAGAAGCTACTTCAACGTAGTGTTGGAAAAGGCAGGAGTAGGCCTAGGTAGGCTGGACTTTAGCCCACTGATGCCAAGATGATGTCTACCGGCAGCTCCTCAGAGCTTCTGGCTGTCACCTGCATTGTCACTGTGTCCAAAAGCAGAAGTCGAGAGCGCACAAGGATGTCATGACCGCCCCGGAACACACCTGGAAGAAGAGAGAGGAAGTAGGAGGCTACATTAAGGGGGACCCATGTAGCAGCTGATCAAGGCAGCCCCTATGCAGAGGCCCAGTTGGGAGGGCTGGGCAAACCTCACTGCTTCTCGGAACTCTGGCACCCTTAACAACAAAGTATGGCAGTAAGAATGTTAACTATTTCAGGCTCCTGCCAGGCTCAAGTGAGCACAGATACGAAAGGCTTAAACCTCATGTCAGAGGCTCTCCCACAGTGGCTGAATCTGAGAGTGCTGATGAGGGGAAGAGCCCTAATAAGAAAAAAACCACAAAGCAGGGGTTTGACAGACCCAGGGGACTGAGTTGCCTCATCAAGGCCAGAGGGGTGAGCCTGGTGGCGGTGAGCTGTGAGCACGCACTGAAGCAGAACATCTTCCCAACCGTGTTTGTAAACATTCACCTCACCACCCCCCCCAAGAAAAAAAAACCCCAAGGTTGGGTGTGTCTCAATGGTAGAACACTTGCCTTGCCTAGCAGGCAAGAGGTTCTGGGTCTGATTATCAGCACTGGAGGGGGCAAAAAAAACCAAAACAAACAAACAAAAAAACCAGGTGTGTAGTTCATTGAAGCTGAGACAGGAGGATTACTTACAAGAACAAGAAATCTTGGGTTACACAGCAAGACTGCATCAAGAATCTGCCTAGCCTCAGTCCCGGAGTTTTCAATCCCCTCAATTACCAGCTCCATCTCCACAACTGTCTCAGATAAAATAATCTAGGGCCCTTTTTGAGTTAAACACGGATATCAAGTATTTACATATGAATTACACAAATAATTTGCATGCAAATACTCTAGGGGAGAGTGGGTACAGGTGTTCTGAGTGTGGGAAGACAGTGTTCATTATATGCCCTATTTAATTTTTGTATGTGTTTGAAAATTTCCAAGACAAAATGCTTAAATAGTCATTCTTTCATTTTGCTTTGCTTAGGTGTTTAAGCCTGTGGCCTTAAACTTACACAAAAGTTTCTCAAACGCTGAAATTACAGGGTAAGCTATCAGGCCAGGCCCCATACCCATTCTTCTTAGACGAAACAAAAACAAAAAACAACCAATAAAGTTGATCATTAGACAAAGGAGCATCAACAAGTTACTGGAGAAAGAAATATGAATGGAAGACACTTCATTCAAAATGCAAAAACTTACATTAAACTACACTGGGGGCTGGGGAGATGGCATTTGTATCCCCAATGTTAGATCTGCTGCTTTCAGAGACCAGCAGTCAGGGAGAAATGCTGAGCCATCAGGCCACACCCACTGCAGCCAATCTTACAGGAAAAAGGACAAGGCCCTGCCAGGACTACTGGAGCACAAGGGTGTGCTGGGGGTGTGTGTGGGGGGGGATGGATGGGGCAGACAAAGCCCAGCAGCATCCTCACCTGTAAAGCTACCCAGACCCTGGCACAGGAGATGTTTCTTACCAGCTAGCAGCAGCGTGTGAGTGTTCTTGTTTTCTGGTACTTTGTCTGACCTCTCACAAGGATGCATTCCCAAGAACTTCACAATATTGCCCACAGCCTCTGTAGGAAGAAACCCCAGCACTATTAAGTCTCGTGTCTGTGTGTGTGTGTGTGTGTGTGTGTGTGTGTGTGTGTGTGTGTATTTTGTTGGGTGCTAGTTAAATCCTGGCCTCATACATACTAAGTATGTACTTTCACTGGGCAGTGGTGACGCATGCCTTTAATCCCAGCGCTCAGAAGGCAGAGGCAGGCGGATCTCTGTGAGTTTGAGGCCAGCTTGGTCTACAGAGTGAGTTTCAGGAAAGGCTCAAAGCTACATAGAGAAACCCTGTCTCTTAAAAAAAAAGTATGCACTTTCCTGCTGAGCCACAAGGCCAGTGCCGAGTCTCGGCCACCACCACCACGCAGCATATGTGCTCTAGATATGGCCATGGGTTCTTGGTGGGAAGAGGGAGGCACAGAGCAGCTACAGTACAGCTGAAGGCCCTGAAAGGCAGCCAGGTCAGAGATGGTGTCTCCAGCATTGTACCTTCAAGTGTCTTGATGGTAGACAGGGTGAATGTTTCCTCCTTCTCAAACTCATCCCCGACCTCATCCCAGGCTGCTTCAAAGTTCACTTTCATGACTTTCTGGATGTGATCAGCCACAGTAACTTCTAGATCCTCCAGCTGGAGAAATGGGGATAGAAGTTAGACTCCAGGGAGAGACTTCCTGTTCCATTTCTAGGCCTCTGCTCTGAACTCATCCACTTTCTCTTTCTTCCTGCAGCTCACTTAGCAGGTATCTGCCAGCGCGGGAACATGGTGGGCTTCGGGACAGAACAAGTTATGTTGGGACCCATCCCAAGGTACTCAATGAAAGTGGTGCTCCTTCAACAGGCAGCAGCCATTTCTTCAGCCGATTCCGTACTGTAGCTCTATCTTCTAGGAACAACCTAGGCTGGACCCTATTATCACCTCAGCTGTGAACTTGACATTTAAGACTCCCATTCAGCCAGCCTGGACTGTGTCCACACGAAGGCTCCTCTGTCCATTCTTCTGACAGATCTTCACAGAAATCTGCTCTGGCAGGTGTTTACAGCGC